TCAGCCGCAAGAGCCAAGAGCTGTAAGGCGAAGGTCTGCTCGAAGATTGATTCTAGGCTGAGATGAAGTTCTGCAATGGTACGATATACGCATAACAAATAGGCTTCTATAAGCGTAGACCACTATGGAATACATTGTAAGGTTTGCAGCTTAAACAATGGCAGAAAAATCTAGATTCTAGACTACTAGAATTTGCATTCACAATTGCACCGATAAGAAAACTTATATACCCCTTACGCACATACGACTGCTGGGTATGGGAAATCAAATAAAATATGAAAGGGAAATACAAATAAAAAATAAAAAGCAGAAAAACAGGAAAAAGGATCAGAACGATGAAAGGAGTCGGCCCAGTCCGGCACGACCACTTGCCGCCCTGACTATTGAGGGTGGCAGTAGAGAGAGAGAGAGAGAGAGAGAGAGAGAGAGAGAGAGCTGGATGGAGTGGACGTGGACGTGGTCGTGGTCGTGTCCGTGGAGTGGATCCATTTGACACGCAATCGAAATTAACTTCAAATATGAAATAATTTTTGTGTTTTTAACGCGCGTTGCCCCGTCAATGATGGTCCAAGGGCCAGGGGACCTACTGAGACACAGAGCTAAGCGGGGGTTGGGGGCGAGTGGGCGTGTGGGCGTGGGGCGTGGGGCGTGGAGAGAACGTCCAACTTATAATTGGAAAAATAGCACAGATAGCGATTGTGTGTGTGTGTGTGTGTGTGTGTGTGTGTGTGTGTGTGGGATTGTGAGTGTGTTTCTGTCTGTTTTCCTGCTTTTTGTTGAAAAGCGCCGCGTCGCTTCGCGTCGAGAATTGTGTCGTAAAAAATCATAATTACAAAATTAATGTTCTCTTGGTGAAAAAAAAAGAATTAAATTGCTAGTTTGCCCAGAGAGACGGAGAGAGAGTGTCCAGCGGACCAGTTGGAAAAGTAAATGCCATGGGAACTGGCCGAATGAGACACCGACTTGGAGGAAAGGGAAACGAGTGAAGGGATAGCCTCACCTTTGCAGGACTTTTCATGCAGCTCGCGATCATCCTCGAGCAGCGTTTGGAACTTGTGCTGCAAATTGGACGCCGCCTCCTGTACGGTACGCGCCTCGTCGTCGAGCGGCAACAGCGTCTGCAGATAGGCGTACATGTCGCCCTGCTGTATGCGGATGCGCTTGTTCTCCAGATGCCGCACAAACTGCGACTCGCTGGGCGCCAGGAAGAGCACGGCCCTGCCCTTGCGGCCCGCACGCGCTGTCCGGCCCACGCGATGCACAAAGTCCGCCGTGGTCTGTGGCGGCGTATACTGGATCACAAGCTTAATGTCGGGCACATCAATGCCACGGCCCACGACATCGGTGGCCAGTAGCACACAGCTGGCGCAGTCCCTGAATCCACGAAAGACGCCCTGACGCTCCGTCTGTGTCATGGAGCCGTGCAGTCTGCAAAATCAAAATGGAAAGTGTCAATGAAGATTCGATACACTGAACCAGAAGGAAGATAAGCATCAAATACACTTTCAGCATTGCTAATATTCTATGCCACTGAAATGCGTAACTATTTAGGGACTGATTTGGGCAATTGGCAACTACATTTGTATGCAGCCAACCGATTAGATCCAAACATTTCAAAGCAAAAAGCAGACAGAAGACCGTCGCATTGCTCTGGCTATAAATTAATTAATTGTGCAGCTTAGGCTTTAAATAACAAATCACAAAAAAATAGCAGCAAGCTACATTTTTGAAAGTTTAAATTGAATTGGAAATGCTCGTAATTTTGGCATTAACCATAACAAGAAAGTTTCTATCTAGCTTATATTTAGCATATAGATGTCTCTACTATTTGTGGACATTTCCCCTCGGCCCTTACGTGTCGTTTTTACGAACAAAAAATGCTCAAGGGGCAATAAGAGAGAATTTTACGAGCAAGAAACTTTCAAAATTTCTACACATTTCTCTGCCCATTTATATGCCTAGTAATTGGGTAGGCTATAAAGATTGAGCCACAATATGACCTGACTTCACACTACACTCAAAACAGCAGAAAACTCTGCGCTGTGAGCGGAGGTTTCTGTATAACAATTTGCGTTACATACAAATCAAATATTGATTGCTTATCTTTTAGGTTATTAAATATACAAATTTGCAGATGTCCTGCACGCCACAGGTGTTACGTATTACGTTAACAAATTAAGGGTACATTTTCTGTGTCTTTTGCTGGAGAGAGACTTTCTGTGAAACTTTTATCTGAAACATCTTGGTTAGTTTTTTGAAAAGCAAAATAAATTTAAGTAAAATATTCATGTATTCCCTTCCATTCTCAAGAAAGGGATACGACTTTCTCAACTAAAAACCCTGTACAATACTCGTAATAAGGATATTTCTGATTGGCCATCCTTGCTAATTGTTCCACTGACTAGTTCTCTGATGGATAGATAGCTCTGCACATGTCTTCCCAGCCTCTACTTTGTACAATCTATAGCCAACAGTCTCGTATAAATGTGCTCGCGAGCTGAATGCTTGCAAGAGTAGTTACATAAAAGGCTTTATCCCTGACTTACTTGAAGAAGCGCAGTCCCTGCAGCAGCGGTGTGCTATTGTCGTGGTCGTCAGAGTCCTCATCGTTCTCCTTGACCTTTTCGTCATCCTCGTCGAGTACGCGCCGGGTGAGCGCCTCGTTGAGCATGTCGTGGTGGAAGTTGACCATTTCGGTGGTGCTCATGAAGATGATGGCCTTGAACTGCTTGGGGCTGGCGGCCATTTCCTTGGCCAGCAGCGAGGAGAGGGCCACGAGTCGCAGCTTGGCCGGCACCACGATGTAGCTCAGGTGTAGATGCTCGGGAATGCTGAGCACGCCCGTCACATCCTCCTGGTACTCACCGAGGCCATCGTCCGGCTCCAACTGGGCCTCGATCGAGTCCTTCTGGTAGCCTTCCTTGCTCTTGAGCGCTGCACTGGCTGCCTCGTCGCTGTTGTCGATGTAGAGGGGATCGCTGAGGGCGAGTCCGGCCAGCTCCTGGACCTGGGCGGTGAGCGTTGCGCTCAGCAGCAGACGCTGCAGCTGCGGCAGCTTCTCGTCCTCTGCCTTTGCCTCCAGCCGATGCTTATCGATGGCCTCCACCAGCTGCTTGACGTCCCGCTCGTAGCCGAGCTCCAGCAGACGATCGGCCTCGTCCAGCACAAGGAACTGCAGCCGAAAGAGCTTGAAGGAGGCTGTGTGCAGCAGATGGTCGACCAGGCGGCCCGGCGTACCCACCAGCACATTGATGCCCTTCCGCAGGCGCGCCTTCTCGCTCTTGCGGCTCTCTCCACCCAGCAGCGAACCGGGCACGATCCACGTGTAGGGCTTGAGCAGCTTCTGGAGCAGCTCGTACGTCTGCACGACCAGCTCGCGGGTGGGCACAATGATCAGGGCCACGACGCCGTCGGTGCGCTTGATGTGCGGCACCTGCGCCTGCAGCTTCTCCACCAGCGGCAGGGCGTAGGCCAGCGTCTTGCCGGAGCCCGTCTGGGAGCGCACGAGCACATCCTTGCCGCTCAGCACATGCGGTATGGTCTTCTGCTGCACCGTGGTAAGCTCTGTTATGCTCAGCAGATCCTCCAGATTCTTCACCGCGTGCGCGTGCAGCCCGAGACTCGCCACTTTGCTGCCCGCGAATATTGTCTCCCTCACAGGCTTCACCGTCCGCTGGCCCAGCTGCTTGAGCGCCTCCACATCGCTCTGATCGAAGAGGCCAATTTTCTTCGTGCGAAAGCGATTGGTGGCCACCGTGGGGGCAGCCTCCTGCTTCTGTTCCGGCTGATCTTTCTGCTCTTTCTGTTCTTCTTGCTCCCGTTGTGGCTCTTCTGCTGCCAGCTTTTGCTTTCTTTCCTCCTCGATTTGCGCCTTGAAGATGTCGCCAGCGCGTGGCAGTTTGTTGGGATTCTCCGGTTGGCCCCTTCTCTTCAGTGCGCTTTTGAGCTGCGCGTCGCTCAGCTTGGACACTGGATTGCTGCGTTTTTTGCTGCCCATGCGCTCGGCCCTTGTGGTCTTTGGCTTTGGCTTCGGCTTGGCCACTGCAGCGGCCACTGGCGTTGCGCTGACATTGAGCATTAGATCATGGCCCAGACTGGGCTTTGGGGCAGCCGGCGGGGCTGCAGTGGCATTGAACATGAGATCGCCAGAGAGAAGTGAAGTGGAAGTGGAAGCTGGAGGGGGAGCGGGAGCGGGAACACGAGCAGCGGGCAGTGGAGAAACAGCCTGGACCTTTTCCTGCACCTTGCTGGGCACCCGTCGCCGCACCACTATCGCCTTCACCTTGGGCTTCTCCGCATTGAATTGGAAATCGAAATTGCTGGATGGTGGAGCGCGTTTCCCCACGGGCTGCCGCGCGCTTTTCTGAAACGAAAGCCACAAGTTTGAGTGTTGGCTGCCACGCCAATCCCAGAGGGGGGGCACACTCACCTTTTGCTGCTGTTGGGGCTTCCCGGCCGATGCCTTGGCACTCACATTCAGTGATATGTTGTCCACCATTTCTATAACATTTGGGTATTTAAATTATCTCAAAATATATCGTGCGCGCACGTGTTGCAGTGTGACTGCGTATTTAACGATCAAATATACCGGACGACCCTCAAGAATAAACCGAAATATACCTCTCGTTTTAAAAGTATACTATATTATATATGTAAATATACTGTTTTTTTATTTTCCATTTGAAAAACATGCGTATTGTATTGATTGGTTAAATTAATGAAATGAACCATTGCCGTAAATATACATTAAACTAAATTTCGCAGTTAAAATTTCTTGAAAAGTATATACTAAATGCCATAAATGGTCACCCTGACGTGCTGCTTCTTCTACGATGCTGGCATTCACAGCGTTACGTAGGCAAACAGCTGCTGGGCTGAAATCAGGGCTGCCAGATGGTCAAATAAAGGTGCAGCTAGCGCGCAGTTTGAATTGCTTAACAGCAACATGACTACATTTTATTCAAATCAATTTGTTTAAATATTTTACATATATGTGTGTATATGTGGTATATATTCAGTAACAGAGTTTTCGTTTTTTTCGCTATAAAGTAATGCAGCTGTAAGCTGCTCCTCTCTCTCGCTCTCACTCTCGCTCTCTCATTCGCAAAAAAATTACTCGACCAAGTGCCTTGGGCATAGGTGAGGGGTAGGGTAGGGCTGAGGGATTATCTATGTGTGGGAGGGGATGGGTGGTGTCTGGGTGGGTTGGTTGGACTGTGGCTTGTGGCATCAGCCCCAGCTGCGTGCCCCGCATATGTCAACCACAGACCAATGCATGACGGTGACGGCCGCTGATGCTGCTGCAGCTGCTGTTGCTGCCTCCTCCTCTGCTGCTGCTGCTGCTGCATGTCTCACTCCCTCTGCGATTGGACCAGCAGCTGCCACGCCCACATTCATTGACAGGCTGCAGTGTATGGTTGCCGGCGGCTCCTGCTGCTGCTGCCGTTTGTGCCTCTGCTTCTGCTGCTGCTGCATCATTGGCATGCCGCCGTGGCCGTGCGTCGTGTGGCAGGCAGCATACAACAACTATGCGGTCACATAGTACTCCCGCTGCCGCTTCTGGCACTTCTCACGCGCAATATAGCACAGGGCGATCGTAATCAGCAGGGCAATGGTCACGCCCATGCCAATGCTCACCCACATGATCTCCTCGTTGATGCCCACGTAGGAGCGGCCTAGGCACACGAAGAGATAAGCAGAAAATTAATTAATATGGACTTCAGGGCTCCGAATTGAATACTTGAAGGAATTATACTTATTCAGCTAAATAATGCGAATTTATTTCAGCTTTATTTCCAAATCAAAACACCATTCAGCCTCTCCCCCCATAATAATCTTCGCCCTCGAATTGCAGTCGAGAGTTTTCATTTATGGAATAACTCTTGACACCAGCTGCACGCAACGAATTGCAAAATAAATGTTTTGCTCTTTAAACTCTCATCAAGGGGCGTTTGTTGTGGGACTATTAAGGATACAAATAGCAAAAACTTACCATTGTAGTAGTGATTGGAGTAGCCGGCTTTGCCAGCCACACGGCCCGCTGGCATTTTGTTTCAGCTTTTGTTTCAACCAAAAATGCCACGCAAAAGCAAAAGTTTATCCAACTAATAAAACAATTGCAATTTTTGTTGTCTTGGCGCCCTTGCCAGCAAAGTTGAGTGTTTATTTTTGCTTGGTTCCTCTTTGTGTTGTTTCTGTGGCTTTGGTGTCCGGCTCCGCTCGGCTAGACTGCTCGTTGGCTCGTTGTTTAATTGCAATTTATGGGTCGACTGCAATGCATTTTCGTCCTTGGCCAGCAACTCACGGTCGTTACGCTGGCAGTGTCGCCAATGCAGCGCCTGAAACTGCCAAGACGCTTAAAGGAGACGAGAGAAATTGTAAATTTGAATAATTGTGCAAGGCAAAGCAAAATAATTAGTTGAAATTAATTTTGAAAATATGCGCGCACGTGGAGTGCGTGGAGCAGTCCTACAACACTGTTCCTCCTCTGTTCTGTATTTACCAACACCTTATTCTGAATGCTTTTTCTTTTTTCTTACAATTTATGTTTTAGTAATATTTTTATAAACAGTCCCATACAACCCCTTTAAATTAGCGACTTTTGCATACAATTGATTCACCCATCTGATAAAATTATATATTCAGTGCTGGGTGCTCTAACTAGCTTAAAATGCTAAACAGAATACGAAAGTCAAGGAAATATGAATGATAATGTCGATACCGGATTCTAGCCCAAATTATGTTGTAAAGATAGGTATAAGGTATACAAACCAATAACAATTAGTATTTAAAATACGTCAAATTGATTCCTCAAACGGATTAAATTATTGTTTCAGTGTTAAAAGTATTTGCAAGCTAGTAATATTAAATAGAACATCAATATCGAGGAATCTGATTTAAGACTACTGTATATTTTACGGTATATTTTGAAGATGCAATGGCATATTTTTGGTATATTTTATCGATAAGTCCGCGGTCACTCTACTAGTAAAAAACAAAACAAACAAAAAATTGAAATAATTAATAATTTACGAGACTGCCGCTATTCTAAAAGGCCGATAGATTAAGGTTAACTGTAATTAGCTTAGATAGCGCAAGGAGCGGCAAGTGCACAGCCCGGCGCAACCTGAACAAAAGCCTATCACACTGATATGGAGAGATCTACACCGGATTCGAAGAATGCAGTCCCCGCCAAAATCGGGGAGGCACAAATGTCCATAGAACAGGAAGATATTGATGCCGAAAGCAACATTTCCGGCAGCTCGGAAGCCGGCGACAATCAGCATAGCAAAGAAGAAGAGTTCCAGCAGATGCCGGCCGTTGTGGTGGATGAGGAGGAGAAGCAGAAGACGGGGGCGTCATGCGTCGAAGGAGACCTGTGCATGGATCAAAGCACCTGTGGATGCCGTACGTACTACTATAAACAACATGCATTTACCTTAATCCACCTTAATGTACATTCTAAAATGCGTATAAAAACTATACGACAACAAAGAAAGAAACAAACGGGCATTGAGAACTAAGAATATTCCCAGCAAGTATTGGATAGCAAATAACTGCAGTGGCAGTTGAGGTATTTTGTGGCCATTAACAATTAACTGTAAGCAGTGAATCACTTCACTGTGCATAAATACATTCATACATATATACACATGTACAATGTCTTATCTAGAAGGCACACCCAAGAAAGAACCCCATGGAGTACCGAAACTGTAGTTCGCATTAGTCATTTTTGTTATGTTTTAACCGGCAGAAACCTGCATCGCAGAGAGTCAAGCAGTCGCCGGACTTTGTTTGAGCCCCTGAGCTTCTTCTGCAGACATTTGAATGTCCAATAATTTGTGACTTATTACACATATCGGTGTAAACCAAATATGTTTTAGATAAACAGAAAGAATAAGCTGACCGTGTACAATAGGTTTCGTTGGTAGTTTTTCACCGGTTGCAGCAGAACAAAATGTAATTTAGCTGGTGGAGACACTCAAACCACCTGGCAAAACATCAAGCGGTTCTTCACACTCTTCGGGGACTGTCGGCCTCTGCTGCTCTTTCACTTTCCATACGCTTGCAAGGCGAGCCACGCCCACTGCACCGGCAGTGACTCCAAAGATCTGCACTGGCTTGTTGCTGCCTGACTTGGAAATCAGAACGGAACCCATGCCGATCAGACACATTCCACTGAACGAACGACAGCGCAAAGAGTCCCGCTCTTTGCGGCTATAACGGAGAATCATTTTGATTTTGCTTAGCGATCGAATGAAATTTCAAATCAAATATGTACAAAACTAAGCTCCAGAGCCAACTGCCCCGAAGGTTTAACACATTTTGTAACTCTTTTTGGAAGAGTCTTTGCCAAAGTGCACAGATTTCGCAATTCTCTAAGCACTGACATTATTCAGTGAATAATGCCTACCCTTATGCATGCAGCATTTCCCTCATGTTTGGCCAGAATCCATATCCTGGCGGCATTGATAGATTAAAGTTACGCCCAGCAGAGCCCAGCAACGTCTGCTGCCGCTTCTAAGCTGAAGCGCACAAATTGCATGAAAACGACGCCACCCCCCCAGCCCAAGCCGCCAGCCGCCAACCTGCAACCCGCAAGCCGCTCGCTCCTCTTCATTGCGGAACCGTTCAACAGTTGCGAAAAGTTTTCCCAAGCAGCCAAGCAACCAACGAACCAGCCACCAGTGGCAGCCACAGCAGGAAACGTTGGTCTATTTCTATTTCTATTGCTGCTGCTGCTGCTGCAAATTTTGGAAACTGCAATCGCAATGAGTCCGAAGGTCGCTACACTCCACTCCACTTTACTGCCCTCCTGACCGCATGAAATATTCACCCAAAAAAAGAAACAAACAAAAACGGAACGGAGATAGAAAAACAAGCCTTTGGTGGGCACCAAAATACTCTTGATGATATATATGAATGGTTCTTTTTAGGAGAAATTCCTATGCCTGGTGCCTTGTTGGATCAATAAACTAAAACTAGTTAAATGGTTTGAATACTCTTACTTATGTAAGAACTTCCGTAGAAGCACCGCAAGCAGTTGCTAAGCTAAAATACCCCAAAGGAGAGACAGAGTACTGCTTAAAAGAGGCAATGGCAGCTGACCAGCAGCAAACCAACGAGAAATGAAATTTCGGTGCCAAGGATTCGGGGCTAAGGGCGCTCACGTACTCAAATGAGACAAAGTTTTTGGTGATGAGCGATAGCGCCGATAAGCTGAAGCACACTGCTTCTCCTTTGCAACTGCTTTAAAGCAGTGGCTGGGCATAATAAAAATAAAGAGCTCTCCTCCGCCCATTATTTAACTGCGCATTAAGTGCAGTGGACGTTCCGCGTCGCTGCTAATTGAAACGAAGTTCACATGTGGTGGTCGACCCAACGCCAGGCCACTCTTGGGCATGCAGAGGAGTGCATCCTGTGATGGGAAAATGTCCTGAGTAGCGAAAAGAGGCGCGTGATAAACCTTTTCGTTAGTTTCCGGCTTTATAACTAGAGTAAAACTGGATAAATTTGATAAAAAATGAATGCAAATTAGACAACTTTGAGTGACTAAAAATCGGGCATTGAGTGTTCTACTCCCCCGCCCAGCGTATTCAAATTGAGGCCAGCGCGCAATTTTCTCTGAAGATTAGACGACTCCAACAACAGCAACCATTCGCGATAAGTCAACGACATCGATGCAATCCACTCATTCAATCCACACTCAGTTCCACCATTTGAAAGCGCACACTCGAGCCAATAACATCCGCGGGAACTGCAATTTATAAGATATGTTCCGGCACTCTCATTATATAACACCTTCCCTTGCAGCTCAACTCGAGGCGGAAGCGGTGCTGGACAACCGCCAGCTGCTGGCATTCCAGGTGCGTTCTCGGGACATCGACTGGCGCCGCTATGTCCAGCCACTGGACACGCGCGTCCGCTCTGGCGGTGTGTATCTGGACAAGCAGGCGGACTTAGTCAACAATCATCGGCGTGCCGTCAATGAGCAGAACAAGCGCGAGCTGCTCGTCTGCCACGACATGATGGGCAACTATCTGGAGGATCGGTGAGTGAATCTTCCGTTTATATTTACCCGCACTCTAACACTCTTATCCTGCAGCCACTTCCACAGCTCGGAGAAGTACGATGACTATCGCTTTATGCACTGGTCAGCCGTGGATTACTTCTGCTACTTCAGCCACAAATATGTGACCATTCCGCCCAGCGGCTGGCTGAATGCCGCCCACCGCCATGGCGTACCCGTGCTGGGCACCTACATTGTGGAGTCGGCAGGCCCACTCAACGAGGTGCTGGCCAGCGAGGAGAGTGTGAACCGCGCCGTGGCCGCCCTGACACGTCTCTGTCTCCATTTCGGCTTTGAGGGCTGGCTGGTGAATGTCGAGGTGACCGTGCCGCGCCAAAGCATGCCCAATCTGCAGTGAGTGCGGGAAAGGGAAGTCCAGTTTCGAGTTAACCAATCAATTGTGTCTCCTCCCCACCAGTCGCTTTGTCCGAGAGCTGCGCGCTGCCACCGAGTCGCAGGTGCCGCATGGACGCGTCTTTTGGTACGACAGCGTCATTGAGAGCGGAGAGCTGCGCTGGCAGAATGAGCTGAACGCGCGGAACGTGGACTTCTTCCGCATCAGCGACGCCATGCTGATCAACTACGCCTGGGATGATGGCCACCTGGAGCGCAGTGCCAGCGTGGCCACGCAGGAGGGCTCGCCACAGCATCGAGTCTTCATGGGGCTGGATGTTTTCGGGCGGAGTCGCAGGGGCGGCTTCAAGAGTCTGGACACGATGACGCGGATTGCCGAAAAGGGTTTCTCGGCGGGCATCTTTGCGCCGGCCTGGTCCTTTGAGACGCTGCGCAACTGGTACGACATCAGCAAGGCCACTGGCGACGAGGTGGTGAACGCCGCCTTTCTGAGCAGGAACGAGGACTGGTGGGCTCGCCTCTGGCCCCTGCTGGCCACCCATCCGTACCAGGCGCTGCCATTCTACACGGATTTTTGCGTGGGCTCGGGCCAGCGCAGTTTTGTGCGCGGATCGCGTGATGCCTCGCCGACGGGTCGCTCCTTCTTCAATTTGGCACGCCAATCGCTGCAGCCGTCTGTGCCCATGGCCAATAATGCCAAGCACTGTTTCCACACTGCCTTCGCGGGCGGGAATTCATTAGAGGTAATCAACTATGAGCGCGCCTTCCGGCTCTTCGTCACGGACTTTGTGGTGCCGCGGGGCGTGCTGCTGCTGGGCTATGCGTACCGCATGGAAGATGCCGGCAGCGATCAGACATTCAGTGCGGTCGTGAGGCTCTCCCCGTTCCAACCCCATAGCCAGGATCTGCGCTTGTTCTGCGGCTCCTACCACGGCAACATTGTGGCTCCGCATCTTTGCTACATATCCCCATTGGAAGAGCCAATGCCTGCCGGTCTGGCACCCGCACAACTGCCTCAGAGTTCCGGCCTGCTAGGCGACGGCTGGCGGGTGCGCTACTATATGGTGCGTTTCGATGGACCCGTCGTGGTGAAGGACATTGGCTTGAATTGCCGCCGGGCGTTAACAGCCACTGCGGAGGCCTATCTGGGCGCCATCTATGTGCAGGCCCTGTTCCAGGAGGATTGGATGGCCACGCAGTGCAGCCAGAAGGCTTCCATCGATGTGTATGGCCGCCAGTTGTGGCAGAACCACAGCTAAAGGTAGATAAACTTGTCTTTGTGCATTTATTTTCTATTCTTTGTGGGGTTAATCTCTCCAGTTTCCTTTACAGCCTTCGCCCTTCGCCCCTTGTGTGAGAGTATCTTAAGCTGTTGGCTCATGGCCAATTCAAGTGCCCAGACCCTGTACTTTGGCTTTTCTGTTTGTACATAAATACATATGTAAAATGTAATAAAAGAAAATAAATTAATTTGAGCCAATAATGGTAATGAATAAACGATAAACAATGCTTAAGTGCATATACGATTACAATGCATGGCACTCATGCATATGTATCTATACCTTTCTCTGTGCTTTATGCACATTTGCAACGTGAAGTCGTAAAATTGATCAAGAATGTAATGAGAATGTTAATTTAATTTAAAATTTCAATGTTAATTTTTGCAGCAGTTTTGCAAAGTAATATTCGCGCGTTCGAGGAATACTCGTTATGCGAACAGTTTTGACGCCACGCATACCTGATGAATATGCACTTTGTATTGCTGCCATTTAAAATGTATGCAAAACCATAATTTTCGCACTTAAAACTGTCACTTTTTGTTAGCACATTCCAGTGTAATCTTCATCGTGCTTTTCATTTTTAAGGATAATCTTTTGGCTTTGTCTCTTGGCATTATTCTCTTTAGAAGCACTTGAATTAAAAAGGTTTTTTTTATCTAGACTTATTTTATTTAACTAGCACACTTTTGTGAGCACACAGACTGTAATCCACTAATACACTTTGTCACGGTTTGCAGCTCATATTCCTGGTCCGCCCTGCTTATCTGCGCTGCTTAACCAGGCGACTGCTTGAACAACAGCAATTTGCGTTTCGGTGCGTCTGCGTCTGCGACTGACCAAAGATGTTTGCATTTAAATTTGCTGATATTGAAGCCGCGGCTTCCAGTTTGCTTCCACCTAGACCGTTTTGCTCTCATGCTCCTCTGCAACGTGAGCGGCGTAATTTTTTGACATTTTTTAATGCAGATTTGTGATAGTTTTTGTGCTTGTCTCTGGCACGCGCAGTTGACATCATTTCAGAATGCATGACAGCCTCTGCAGCCTAGGGCCGGTCCCCTCCCTTCCATGGCACAGACTTTTGCACAGTTTTATGCCATTTTATTTGTTTAGTTCTTCGCTTTTTGTTTGACTCTGGGCTTGGCCTTCCCCTTCAACTTTGGTGCGCTGTTTGGCTGTCTGCTATGCCATGCTCTGCACTGCTTGTCGCTTGGGCTTTGTGGGCGCTGAAGCGGAAGCTGTAAGGGCAATGTTGGGGTAGAGGGGAATTGCTGGCAAAGTGTTGCTAAAAGCAGTGCATCATCCGTTGCCCAGTAACGGCTTCCTCCCTAACTATCTCTCTCTCTCCCTCTCTTCCCTACTTAGTTTATCAAGAACATTATCTGCTTTCGTTGGCTCTTGCCTCAAACCCTCTTTTCTCCCCCTCTTTGGCTGTCAGCTTTTTGTGTAATTTGTGTGGCCCTGTCGTAATTAGCCACACCCTTACTCCCTAGCATACTGCACTGCACTGCTAAGCAGTCGATAAATTTCTGCTACTGACCGCATTTCAAAGTGATAAACGTCACCAGCTTCACTGCATTGATTTCGGGGTTTTCCCTACTCTCAACGTAGACATGGAGATGGATGGAAATGTGTGGCAAAGCGTGCGGAAAAGCAGACCGCAAATCAAACAGCGGCACGTCTATCCCGCAATACTAGTCCCCGCCATATCAGTAGCTAACTTTTCTGACCTTTCAGCTCTCTCCTTTCAAACTTTTTTCGCAGTACAAACACAAACACAGCCCCAACAAATTGGATGGCCAAGTTCGACCGCAAGGTACCTTCTAGTTACAGTTTATTATTTCAAATATTTATGTATGCCAGAGATTGACTGTCAGATCTGCTCAACATTACCACCTGCCATAAGCTTCAGGTATGAGTTGCAGCACAGGGAAAATACTTAAACAAAATATTTGTTTTAGAAAAACTAGTTGTAGAAGGTATAACGAGACTAAGAACATGTTTAAGAGCAGAAAGAAATTGTGTGGATTTTAACTTTTCTTATAACGTTTTTTCTCATATCAATTTATGCTGTTTGGAATCTTCCTGATTATTGAGTTCAGCATAGAAAAACATTTGCACACATTTCTGCATATATTCTATCTCTATGGTCCATGGTAGTTTGCAACTTATATCACGTGCATTCTTTTTCCTTACTTTCCGCGTGTGCTTCTGGCTAGCGTCAGTTGGCGAAACATAAATCGCGGAGCAAAGGGAAACAAGGGAATGCTTTATGGCGTCTGTCTACCATTTGAATGTTCAAATATGCCCCTACACAATCTCATCTCCGAATGGTGTGGCCAAACATGCAACAGCCATTGCGCCCGACCCAGATACGAAATTCGCCTGGAGGCTGCCAGTCCAGGTGTATACCCGCCTTATTTGTGGAGTTTTTCATGCATTTTATGCATTTAAATGGAAATAAAAATTCAATTGAAAATGCCAAGCCACCTGCCTGCAGGGTTAGATAGCCCACCGCCACAGATGTAAATGTATCTGTCAGCTATTGTAGATGGCAAATGCAATTTGTGCTATGCCAGTTCTCCTTGCCGCTCCTTTACCCGCTCCGTTTATTATGTTGTGTGGCATTAAAGCAGTAGAATTGCAGATTGTTTGGGAGTTACGTTTCGTGCTGGGATGCAGATCAGGCTGCTGCTTTGCACAACGACTCGAATAAAAAATCCCTTTTCGCCATTTAATATAGATAAAACTCATCATGGGACTGGCAGGACCCAGCGAGACAGTAAGGAAACACCAATCCTTGTTGATTCGACTCTCCGGCTACTGCTATCTGTGCACTAATAGCCGTGTCCGATTGCTGGCAACGGGTGCAAAAGGAAATCAAATTAAAATCAAGTGTGTGCCATATGCAATTTTACGTTATCCCCCGCACTCGTGGCCCATGCACTAATGAGTTCTCATTGCCGCTTTAGTTCCTCCATTAGCGGCCATCAGGCATTCGGTAAAAATTAACGCTTTAATTACTGACAATACTCCCCCCGTCCAACCAGCGTTCAACTAAAGCCAAAAACCACACCGTGTCCAAGCCCATGAATGGCATTAAAAAACCATCAAAAGCCAATACGAAATGACAGCAGCAGGAGACCAAAGGAGAGACAACAACGCAGCAGATAATACCCTCTAAAATGATGGACATCTCTGCACATGAAAACATTTACTGAAGGATTTACTGAGGATCGCTCTCACTGTGGAGGAATATCTTGTAGAAATTTCCTTTAGCTTTTGCCCATGCAAATTTTACAACCCTAATCATATATCTTTGCATGACCCTCACAACCTCTAGTCTGGAACATCAGGCCGAACAATTAGTCTCAATTTTGTGTGTTTGGGTTTCGGATAATGGCTTTTACACAGCCCCCCAAATGCACAGCCTGACACATTTAGGTCAGGAATGGATTTTCGATTTTTCTGTGCGACAGTGCAGGTCGCCGCACATTTTCATGCATTCTCGCATTTTTATTAGAGTTTTAGCTAGGGAAAAATGGCTGTGGCAGGTGCAGGGCTAACCATCAAATATGACATCTATGGGTTACGATTTTGAGCATTTATAAAATGTGTTTCTGCATTTCCTATTTTTATGGTGCTGTATTTTTTATGCACTTTATGTTCCCATGGCAATTAATGTTCATTTTTATTTCTCCACGCTGAAATTATTTTTGCGCACCGAAATACTTTCTTTTTTTTTTTGCTACTGAGCCGCAATCTCCGTCGTGGCTCTGTTTTTAATACGAGTTTGACTTATATCGGTCTTTATTTGGGGTCTTGTATTTGTTGAAGATTTCCGGTTTTCCTGTTTTGCTTGCGCCTTGAAATTTATTAGTGAGTTTTGGGAAAATGAGATTTAATGCAAGGCCCCCAAGGCACAGCCACAGGCACTGCCGCTGCCGCCGCACATTTTTCTCTTTTTGGCAGGCATCAGAGCGTCAAATCCTTGAGGCTGGCTCATTTATTTGGTTTGTGTGTGTGTGTGTGTGTGTGTTTGGGTCTCGCGGCGCCTCATAACTTTTCCACATGGCCAGCAAGTAAAGAATGAAGAAGTATCAACCCCAGCACCGAGCGCCAAAGAATTCCGGGAGCAGTGGAGCAACAAAACAGCGAAAGTGCAAAACAAAATATTCAAGCTCTGGTTGTTGTTTTGTTTTGTTTGGTTTTTATTTGGTTTGACTTTTTTGTGAATTTGTTGGTTACGCTCAATTCTTGTTTTCTTTGAAGGAAGATAAACTCAAAGCTGAGCAGCGACTAGAGGATCTGCTAGACAATAGAATACCCTCTAGCCCACAAATTGAATGCTAGATTGGAAGTCTTTTGCTGAAGAGCACAAGAAATAATCAGAGAAACCCTCGGAAAAAGTTCAATGCCATCCAAAATGGAATAAGTATAATAATTTAATATTAATACTCCTGTAATAAGGGTGTCAAAGACCAATTTCAGTGATCAAGACATTAATATTTGTACCACAATAAAATACATAATTTAACCTGTTCGATGGGTCTTCCTCTCAGTTACCACTGCATAGTAAACATCATTTTTGAAGCCCACATAGATTATGATTCTACTTTTAGGCATATACATGGGAGTGGACAACGAACAGACAGAAAGAACTCCAAATGAAATGTCTATTGTCTTACATAAGCGCACACAGATTTACGCACATCAAAACACAGATGAATGAACGATCGCTTTGACAGCCCAATTGTGTGTGGTACTAAGAGACATGAAGAGTATATCCATTTGTCTGCTTGAAATAAACGTGAGTCAAGTCGAGTTAACATCTTAATATTTGCCAGTTCATAGTTCATGTTTTAGTTAAAGTTCTCTTTAAGCTTCCATCCACCCATCGTCTACCCAGTGTGAGTGCTGGGTGTCCAGAAAAAAAAAGGATGGATGGATTTCAGAAGGATTTCCTGCACAACGAAACTCATTTTTCTTGTTTGTCGTCGCCGCTTTAGCTAAACATTCATTATTTCACTTTCCGGGTGTAGCTCTCTGTCTCCGTTCCGGCATTTCCATCAGTTGTTTGCTTTGCCACTGCCACTGCCACAACCTTTTCCCTGCGGCAGTTTCCCTCGGGGGCTGCCAGCAAATGCTCTCCGCTTGGAGTATCGAATATTGAGTAAAAGCTATGGGTCTATATACATATTTTGTTTTCGTAGCACAATTGTTTGCATTTTGCATTTCATTTGGCAATCAGCTCAGCAAACATCTGTCTGCCACACGCAGCAACAGGCAAGGCGAGGCGTGGCGTGACGTGGCGTGACGAGGCGACTTCAATTGCAATTCAAATTGCAATTTGAGTG